AGGGCCTCAACACCACAACAGGGAAAACATTTCTCCTCACACCCAATCTGACTCTGCCCTGGCTCAGCTCAAGGTCATTCCCTCTCTCCTCTCCCTGCAGCCCTGGCAGGAGTGACATCTGAATGCTGAAATAAATTCCCAGAGCTCTTCTTAATATATTGTCTGTATTTTATTCTGTAGGTACAGAGCAACAGTTAATGGCTGGGGGACCAGTTTCTTCTTCTGCCCCTGCTCAAGACGTCAGGCCAAAGGACAAAGCTGTGAGTGCCAGCACATTCCACAGGTTCCAGCAGGACCTGCCCTCCTCTGAGCTCCTGAGCTCCAAACTGAGACACGTTAAGGTTCAAGCTGCTCTGCAGCCACTGACTGAACCTGCCAAGGCTGAGCCACAAAGTGGCTACTTCATCGACAAAGGCACCCAGACAAAAAAGTCCAGCAGGACCGGGCAGTCGAGGCACAAAGCTCTGCACCACTCTGGGGCACAGCAGGAGCAGCAGCCACAGGGACAACCTCCTGCCCCTCTGCTCAGAGACACCTCCCAGGCCCTGGAGATAACACAGTACTTCTTTGAGGCCGTCTCCACGCAGATGGAGAAGTGGTACGAGAGGAAGATAGAGGAAGCTCGGTGCCAGGCAAACCAGAGAGCACAGCAGGATAAAGCTGCACTCAAGGAGCACATCAAGTGCTTAGAAGAGGAGCTGAGCAAGTTAAGGACTAAAGTGCAGAAGGAGAGTTAGCACCAGCTGAGCAGCTCAGCCAGCAACAGGACTCATCTGGCGACCTGCTGCGTGGGAATCTGGAATGTGGATAGGTATCTGTAGTGCCTGTTACATCCCAAACACTCCTCCTTCAGGAGTAAAATACCTTTGGAAGCTGCAGCACTGACACGTGCAGACTGTACTGATGACAACAAGATGCTGCAGATTTCTTTGTTGCTTCCAGGAGTCTGTTTGTTGCACTCTCTCAGTTTCCAGATGCTGCTTGAAAACAAACTGCATCAGCAACCAAAACTGCTTTCTGAAAAGGGAATTTCCTTAGTCCCACATAGGTCACCTGTGGCTAGAAGGTTCCAGTGTGGGCCACATGGTGACACCAGTACTGAAATAAATCTGAGAGCTTTGGACAGAATCCCTTAGCAATGAAGGGCTATTGGTCCCAGGGTCTTTAGTCAGGAGAGAGAAGCTGCAGAGCCCAGGTAGGTCAGATTTACAGCTGGGGGATGCAGCCAGCCATGCAGGGAGATGCTAAGGCATCTGCACCTCGTGAGGTACAGAGGCTTCAGCTGCCACTTAGCTTTTCTTTTGGTCTTCCATTATGAAAACAAATGCTAAACCAGATTTGTCTGTTTTAAAGGTGTTCTGGCTGCAGAGCTCCTTGTGCTTATGCACTCGTTGGGGCTTTGCTCCAGTGACCTGACCCAGAAGTTTTGTTT